AAGTTAGAGAAGGAAAGAAGTAATAAAGATCAGAGCAGAAATACATTAAATAGAGACAAAAAAAAATAGAAAAGGTCAATGAAACTAAAGCTGGTTCATTGAAAAGATAAATATAATTGATAAACGTTTAGCCAGGCTCATCAAGAAAAAAAGAGAGAGGACCTAAATTGATAAAATCAAATAAAAAAGGCGACGTTACAACCAATACCACAGAAATACAAAGGGTCATAAGAGATTTCTACAAACAATTATACTCCAATAAGATGGACAACCTAGAAGAAATGGACAAATTCTTAGAAATGTACAATCTTCCAAGACTGAATCAGGAAGAAATACCAAATATGAATAGACCAATTACCAGTAGGGAAATTGAATCAGTAATTCAAAAACTCCCAACAAACAAAAGCCAGATGGCTTCACAGGTGAATTCTATGCAACATTTAAAGAAAAGTTAACACCTAACCTTTCCAAATTCTTCCAAAAAATTGCAGAGGTAACAATGCTCCCAAACACATTCTACAAGGGCAGCATAACCCTGATAGCAAAAGCAGTCAAAGATATCACAAAAAAAGAAAATTACAGGCAAATATCACTGATGAACACAGAAGCAAAAACCCTCAACAAAATATTAGCAAACCAAATCCAGTAATACATTAAAAGTATTATACATCATGATCAGTTAGGATTTATCCCAGTGATGGAAGAAAGTTTCAGTATCTGCAAATCAATAAATGTAATACACCACATTGATAACTTGAAGAATAAAAATCCTACAATCATCTCAATAAATGTAGAACACTTTTGACAAAATTCAACATCCATTTATGATAAAAACAGTTAACAAAGTGGGTATACAGGAAACAGCCCTCAACATAATAAAGGCCATATATGACAAGTCCACAGATAACATCCCATTCAATGGTGAAAAGCTGAACGCATTTCCTCTAAGATCAGGAACAAGACTCTTGCCATGTGTATTTAACATAGTATTGGAAGTCCTGACCATTGCAATTAGGAAGAAGTAAAACTGGCACTGTTTGCAGATGACATGATACTACATATAGAAAATGCTACAAGACACCACCAAAAGACTACTAGAACTCATATATGAATTCAGTAAAGTTGCAGGACACAAAATTAATATACAGAAATCTGTTGTGTTTCTATACACTAACAGTGAACTACCAGAAAGAGAAATTTTAAAAAAGAATCCCATTTATAATTGTATCAATGATAATAAAATACCTGGAAAGAAATCTAACTAAGGAGGTTAAAGACCTATATTCGGAAAACTATAACACATTGATTAAAGAAATTGAAAACAAACAAATGGAAAGATATACTGTGTTCTTGGATTGGAAAATTAATATTGTTAAAATGACCATACTGGGGCTTCCCTGGTGGCGCAGTGGTTGAGAATCTGCCTGCTAATGCAGGAGACACGGGTTCGCGCCCTGGTGTGGGAAGATCCCACATGCCGCGGAGCAACTAGGCCCGTGAGCCACAACTACTGAGCCTGCGCGTCTGGAGCCTGTGCTCCGCAACAAGAGAGACCGTGACAGTGAGAGGCCCGCGCACCGTAATGAAGAGTGGCCCCCACTCGCCACAACTAGAGAAAGCCCTCGCGCAGAAACGAAGACCCAACACAGCCCAAAATAAATAAATAAAATTTAAAAACAAATACAGTGAAAAAAAAAATGACCATACTACCCAAGGAAATCTACAAATTCAATGCAATTCCTATCAAAATACCGAGGACATTTTTCACAGAACTATAACAGATAATTCTAAAATTTGTATGGAAACACAAATGACCCTGAAGAGCCAAAACAATCTTGAGAAATAAGAACAATGCTGGAGGTATCACACTCTCTGACTTCAGACTATACTACAAACCTACAGTAATTGAAACAGTAGGGTATTGGCACAAAAACAGACACATAGATCGATGGAACAGAATAGAGAGCCCAGAAATGAACCCACACTTATTCAGGCAATTATTCTATGACAAAGGAGGCAAAACTATACAATGGGGGAACAACAGCTTCTTAAATAAATTGTGTTGGTAAAACTGGACAGCTACATGTAAAAGAATCAAACTGGACTACTTTCTCATACCATATACAAAAATAAACTCAAAATAGATTAAAATATTAAACTAAGACCTGAAACCATAAAACTCCTAGAAGAAAAGTTGGCAGTACACTCTTGACATCAGTCTTAGCAATCTTTTTTTGGATCTCTCTCCTCAGGTAAGGAAAACAAGATAAAAAATAAACAAATGGGACTGCATCAAACTAAAAAGCTTTTGCACAGTGAAGGAAACTACCAACAAAAGGAAAAGGCCTCCTACTGAATGGGAGAAGATATTTGCAAATGATAGATCTGATAAGGGGATAATGTACAAAATATATAAAGAATTCATAAAACTCAACATCAAAAAACCCATTTAAAAAGTGGGCAGAGGACCTGAATAGACATTTTTTCCAAAGAAGACATACAGATGACCAACAGGCACATGAAAATATTCAACATCACCAATCATCAGGAAAATGCAAATCAAAAGCACAGCGAGATACCACCTCACATCTGTCAGAATGGCTATTATCAAAAAGACAACAAATAACAATGGCTGGTAAGGATCTGGAGAAAAGGAAACAAGGGAACTCTTGTGCACCATATGACTGAGGAATCCACTTTCAGGTATATATCCAAAGAAAATGAAAACACTAATTAGAAAAGATATATGCACCCCTATGTTTATTACAGCATTATTTACAATAGCTAAGATATGGAAGCAACCTAAGTGTCCATTATTGGATGAATGGATAAAGAATATTATATGGATAAATACAATGGAATATTACTCAGCCACAAAAAAATTAAATCTTGCATTTTGCAACAACATGGATGGACCTAGAGAGTATTATGCTAAGTGAAATAAGTCAGAGGAAGACAAATACGGTATGATTTCACTTATATGGGCAATCTAAAAAACAAGACAAATGAACAAACAACAGAAACAGAGTCATAGATACAAAGAACAAAATAGGTGGTTGCCAGAGGTGAGGGAATTCTGGAGAGGAGAATAATAGGTAAGGGAGATTAAGAGGTACAAACTACCAGCTACAAAATAAATATCACAGGTATGAAATGTACAGCATGGGGAACATAGTCAGTAATTTTGTAATATCTTCGTATGGTGATGGATGGTAACTAGACTTATTGTAGTGACCATTTTGTAATGCATAGAAATACTGAATCACTGTGTTCTGCACCAGCAACTCTCATAGCATTGTAAGTCAATTATACTTCAAAAACAAACAAACAAACAAACCCATATAAAGAGATCAGCTTTGTAATTACCAAAGGTGTGGGGTGGGGGGATGGGATGGGGGGTTACATGAGGTAATCAGAAGATATCAACTTCTGGAGACAAGCTAATAAATACTAGGGATGTAATGTACAACATGATAAATATAATTAACACTGCTGTATATTATATATGAAAGTTGTTAAGAGAGTAAATCCTTAGAGTTCTCATCACAAGAAAAAAAATTTTTTTCTCTATTTCTTTAATTTTGTATCTATGGGAGACCATGGATGTTCACTAATCTTATTGTGGTAATCATTTCTGAAAGAAATAATACTTACTCACTATTATGGAGCATTTTTAGGACAGTCTCCTAAAATGAGACCTAAGACCCCTGGCCTCAATAAGGACTGTTCTGGCTCATAGAAACTGATGGGACTAATAGACTGTGTTGATCCCAGGTAAGATATGCTAAGATTGAGGGGCCATTGTAAATGATAGGGTGATCACTGCATGAGGATAAATAAAAAGAAACTTTTGCAAACTCCATGCTTAGTACTCATTTACTCCTCTGATATGTATCTATCAACACCCAGGGTCCAAGACTCTTCAAGTCATCAAACTAGCCCACTTTCAGCAGAAGCCTGAAAGCAGAGAAGGTGATATTTTCATTTTATTCTTCTTGGCATTATTTGTGAGGGGAAGTAAAGCGAGAGGAAGCCTTTGACCTGTCTTACTTAGTATCCTGCTACTTTTGTGGTTGGCTTTTGTACCCTTTGATATGTACCCATCATTATTTGAGTACTTTCTTATCTTTTAGTACAAAGAGATGTTCTATCTCAAACTGTCCCTTTCCTGCCCCATCCCTGAAATCAGCCATTTCCCCAAGAAGCCCTGGTTCTTTTAGCAGAGCATGGCATTTAGAAGCCAAGATCTGGGTACTGGATGTGCTCATTGTCATTGAGGTGTTGTTGCTCCCAGGCCTTCTCAGTTAGAAAGTTAAAGTCTATATCTATATCTGTATCTACATCTATTTCTATATCTATATTTGTATTTCCGTCTATGTCTATATATATCTAGAGAGAAAGTGCAAGATATGTTTACAAACACACATTTACATCTATATGTATAAATCTATCCATGTATTGAGAACAGTGAGAACTGCTAACATCAATACCTCTAATTCCAATCCAACAAAAAAGGGTTCATTCTAGTTTTTCCTTTTGAATATCTGCAACTCCCTTCTCCAGCAGTGAGAAACCTGAATCTTATTATCATTTGTAAATTTTCTTATTTGAACCATACCCCCTGTGGTAACCAAGCTCCCATATCTGCCTCTCCCCCACCCCATGTGGATGTCGTTCTCTCCTGCCTCAGGCTCTGATACCTTATGTTGAACCCTCATCCAGTCTGAGCCTCCTCTCTGCCCCACTATGGGACTCCCCATTCTCACCCTGTTTGGGCTCTGACTGTCCATGTCGTAAGCTCCCTCCTTGCACTGTAGGGCCACTCTACTCACCCTTCATGGGCTCTGACATCCTGTGCCAAGCTGCTCCCTGGTGTGTGGACTCCCTCTTCACCCACTCAAGCTCTTACACCTCGTTCCAGGTCCTGGGCCTCCTCAGCTGCCCCTCAGCTCCCACTGGTGTAGACGCTTACCTTGCTCTGCCTCACCTTTAGGACTGACCTGTTTATAAAAGGAAGGGAAGAGGAAGAGTCCAAATAACTCTTAAATAAGAGTTGTGCTGTGAAGAACATATTTGCTGAATGTTGTTGAATTGGTGAGAAGATTGAGCTGGAGGCAATATACGTGTAGTTTCAAATGCTTCTGACTATGCTACGTAATTCTTTGTATCTGGTGAAGCAGTTACATTCACTTGTAAACCTCCCTTAAGGCTTGGGATTGGACATATTAATCCTGCTAGAGTTTGGATGGAAAAAAAGCATTCACTGGAGTAAACAGGAAAAGTAATCAAGTAGAAATCCTTTTTAAAGCTCATTTTGCGTCTTCATTCATTCTTCAGAATAAATTGCTGTACAGATTGGTCCCAGAGCTCTGAATTACAAAGCATCTAGAGTGTTCAAGACTAAGGCATTTGTTCTCTCACTGAAGGTCAACAATGAAAAGTCACTGAATAGGTCTGAGGAGGAAAAAAGCATAAGATTATAAGGAAAACTTTAATTTCTAATGATCAAATTAAAAAAATCATGAATACATTGTATATCTTGTTAACCTGCTTTAGGATGAACAGTATAAACTAGATGGGTCGAAAATATTGTGTTACAGTTGGCGTGCTAATAAATAAGCTGGTTTATTGGTTAATAAAGTATTTATACCATTTAGACAAATCTGACTCAGTATCACTCCCTGACTTATTGCTATCACAGTAATCAATCAATAATTACTTCTTTTTATACTAAGTATAAGGTACAATATAATAAAATATAATGCTTATCTGGAGTAATTGGCTTCATCCAAGTAAGAAAAAATGTACATTATTCAAAATTCTTGTTTGTATTTAGAGGAAGGACTATTAACCAAATATTTGGGCATTTGATTTTGGATAAACATTTTTGGTGCTGTTTAATTACTACAGAAGCTAAGATATAATGGAACTTTAATTGTCAACAAATGGTCTGAAGAGTCCAATGTGCTCCTTTGGTAGGATCAGGGCTTGGCATCACCAATAACAGGCATCAGAGCCCGCTCAGCATCTCGAGCGCCAGCCTCCAAGCACACTTGGTCGAATGAGAGCACAGGAGGGGAGGAAGATCAAGGAGAGGGGACATGGACAACCAGGCAGAAGGAAGGCAGAGGTTACTGGAAAGGGAGAAGGAAGACAGGGGAACACAACGGAGGGGGAGGGAGTGGAAGTGGAGGAGAGAAAGAAAGGAGGAGAAAGCAGTTGAGAGGACACGTGACATGGTTATCAAAAGATGAGATGGATGATTGAAGGAGATACGGGAAACAGAGAACGCACGTTTAAGAAAACACAGGAAGATACTGCACACGTAACAATTTGAAGACATGGAGACATTTTATTGCTTATATTTTAAATTGCTAAATTTAAAGAAAAATCTCTCTGACCTATGACCCATGGTCAAGTCTGTGCAGGCTGTGCTTTGGTCTGTTCTCATGGCCAAGTCCCATAACCTCCCATTCCCTCTCAGAGAGTATCTTCTTGTGAAGTGACTATGAAAGTGAACTTTTGTCTTGCATATTAATTTGTGGGTACATTAACTTACAGAAGAAATAGGAAAAAACCCTTAGATCACATTGCCTTGAGTTTATATGACATATTTAAAGGCCTTTCATTGACATAATCCTTAATCTTTACAGTATCACTTTGAGGTAGATAGAAGATCTGTAGTTTTACCCCCATTCTGTAAAAACAAAATTAAAGTGAAAACAAGAATTAAATGGTATACACACAAAATCTAGAGTAGGATGATTTGCCTTAGCTGTCCTGATTAAATCAGGGGTAACAAAACTAAGCTAATTCCGTACTTTGTGATTGATGAAAATGTTTAAAGTTGTCCAAACTACAAGCAGGTTCAATTTGGCCAAATGAAACCACATTTCAAACTTAATCTGCTGAGTGCAAAGCTATAAAGATTATGCTCTGGTTAATCTTTTAGTTCTATTACTCTTTATCTGACCATTGTCCTTTGCGATGGAGATTAGCCCATAATTGCTATTGTCTGTTGACATCATCATTTTTGCTGCTAAATTTTGGCTGAAAGAGTGTCTGTCCCACAGGTGAATTACAGTCAAGAGCTTCAGGGCACAGCCTTGCTTTCCATTTGCTCTCCACAACAGCAATCCTAAGGGTACTTCATAGATCCTACGATTCCAGGTCTCTTTGTGACACCATAAAGTTAGTAGCCAGTAAAGTGTGGCGTGATGCAGCAGGCACTGGGGAGAGAGAAATGGGCAGGAGGAGACACATTTCTTGCCTTTGGGGCACTTAATGTGGCTCACAAAATTGTCTGTTTCTTCTTTTTAAAACTTGCATTTCTTTGGCTTGTCTGTCTTCTAGTGAATATTATTTTTCTGGTTTCTATTTCTTTACACTGTTGTGTCATTTGCTCATTACTCTTTAAGTATTGAACTAAATAAACCCTAGAGTATTGCAAATCTGTATTTCCCTCAGAAAAGAATGTGCTCATTACCCAATGATGTAATATTCCACTGGCCTTCACAACTGAACAAGCAAAACTTTCTACGGTAAATTTGTTTTTCCAAGGCATTTAAAGTAAATCATGTGGTTTATAGCCCAACATGAAGCAAAATCTTCCCCAGAAATACAGCATTATTGGCAAAATCCTCAACAATCACTGAGCCTCAGGGCCAAACGTGACAATAGGGGACGAACAGGACTCTGAGTAGTAAATGTGACTGAAATACGAATAACAAAACGTGTGGTTTTCCAGACTCACAGAATATTGGAAGACAAAACCGTGAGCACATTATAATATGCAAGAGAAGGGCCGAAAGTTGCCACTAAATTATGTGTTTTTCTGTAGCCACGCAGCTATCCTGGCACTTTGCTCCTTGTTTTTCAGATTTTCATTCTTTATTGTCTGTAATTTGGCCTGAACTGTGAGTCTCTGGTGCTCCTCCAACATGTTACTGCAAAACTGCTGCAGCTGAAAGGACAAAGAGACGGTTGGTCCATCAGTGCAATTGAACTTCTCACTTAGGCACAGTAAGACAAAGTTCATGTTAAGTAGCGACATGATCTTGTGAATGGATGATGACAGTTGGAATGAGTAGAAATGTCTGTCCCTATATGGTGTGTCCCTGAGGAGACTGTGACTGAGAAAACGTGATGAAGACCACACCTGTCCTGAAGAATCCGATGCAGACTGGAAGCTCCAGGAAGTAGGAACTTTGTCTATTCTACTCACTGCTCTATTCCCCAAGCACATAGTAGGTGCTCAATAAAGATTTCCAGAATGCATATTGGATATTATACAAGATTTGTAGACAGAGACACAATGAGACCTTTCCTTATTTCAAAAGAAACTTTGCAACTTCCAAAGTTCAAAACTGGTACACAACATCCATGTCTTTACAAATGTTACCCTTTATTTAAGAATATTTATAGTGGATTCATCCATTGGTTAAATTCCTTCATTGAGTCAGGTCAAGCATTCAGTTATGGGAATGTTTGTTGCAATATTACATTCAAGCCAGACAGATCCCGATTGAATAATTGGGATAATAATAATTGAACTGAATAAATCATATTCCAAAAGTCTATTTCTGTGTCATTGGATTATAACTCAGAACACACATTACCATAAAATGACAGTGTACCCTACCAGCTCACAAAAGGTCACATAAACCCTAATGTACTTGAAATTAGGTAGTAATAGGGTTGTCAAGCCTAACTACAATGCAAAAGACAAATAAGGTTCTAGGAAAAAGTAGATTAAGGGGCCAGGAGCAAACCTCCCATTCTCTCCCACACCTGGGCATTCCTGCCAGGCAGTGGGAGCCACACACCAGCAGCACCGCCCACGATCGAGCACCTGCAGTGGGTTGGAGGGGAGTGTGGGTCTGTGGGACTGTGTGTGTGGGGCTTCACAGGTGCTTGAGAGCACGAGTGAGGACAGGCTCCAGCAGAGTGGAATAGAAAGACCAGAGTAAGAGATAAGGAGAGTGTATAAAAACTGTGCTGGTGTGGAGGGAAAAGGGATTCATATGACTTTCTTTTCATTTACCACTTTTAGTAATTGTTTTCAATATTATCATGTGAACCAATACATTGCAGTAGGACTGCTGGTCATTAACAGCTTTTTGACAAAGATATTCATGGTAGCTAACTCACTTGTTTTCAAAATTACAATAATTTAACTACTGCTAAATCCATTTTTGCATTTTTTTAATGAACTATCAGTGATTATAGAATTTTGGAACTTTGGGGATTGCTAAAGTTATACAAACTTCATTCATTCGTTCAACAACAACAAAACTACTGGGTTTTGTAGAGATAAAGATGAACAGAGGCACTTTTGAAGATATCAGCACAAACTCAGTTGATTCTAGGAGCTTTTGTTCCAGGATTTTGGGGTGTGCCCCTCACTCTCTTGTCTGGGGAATCCTTGATAAATCAGGTCCTGACAGCTCAGCCTCAGGCAGGCCAAAACCCAAACAAAGATCTTTCCTTCAGGAATTACCAGTTCTTCCTCTCTCTCTCATAGTAACAACTATATAGGATGATTTGGGAGCACAGAGGAGGAGAGCATGTAAATTAGTTAGTTAAAAATTTCCTAGAGGGCTTCCCTGGTGGCGCAGTGGTTAAGCATCCGCCTGCCAATGCAGGGGACCACGGGTTCAATCCCTGGTCCAGGAAGATCCCACATGCAGCGGAGCAACTGGGCCCCTGCATCACAGCTACTGAGCCTGCACTCTAGAGCCCGTGAGCCACAACTGCTGAAGCCAGCGAGGCACAACTACTGAAGCCCGCGTGCCTAGAGCCCATGCTCTGCAACAAGAGAAGCCACTGCAATGAGAAGCCCGCATGCAGCAACAAAGACCCAATGCAGCCAAAATTAATTAATGTATTAAAAAAAAATTTCCTAGAATATGTGGTTGAAGCAGGGTCTTAAAGGAGGATTAGGAATTACCCAGGCAAGGACAGGCATGAGGAGGGCACCCCAGACAGAAGGTAGAGTGTTTCTGAAATCTGGGAAATGTGCAACAACATGATAATTTAAGAAATTCTGTTAAGTGGTACAGTGTAACTAGAGGAAAAATGTTCGGGGGTACCTATGCCTCTTATTCTCTGACACTGGTTGGTGAAGTGGGCAAAAGTGAAGCTAGGGAGTAACGCAGGGGCCAGATCATGAAGGGCTTCATGTGCTAATGAAAAGATTTTAAAATTTCTTCTAAAAACTATGATGAGATACTGAAACTTTGGGAGCAGGGCAATGACTGGCAGTGATGTGATAGATGGGATGGAGGGAAGAACAGCCTACGCCAGGGAGCCTGGGCCATAGTCTACTGCAATAACTCAGGTGAAATACAACCCTCCATGAACAAGAATGGTCTCTATTTCAAGAGCAAGACAGAATTAAAAGACATTTCCTGGGCTTCCCTGGTGGCACAGTGGTTGAGAGTCCGCCTGCCGATGCAGGGGACATGGGTTCGAGCCCTGGTCTGGGAGGATCCCACATGCCGCGGAGCGGCTGGGCCCATGTGCCACAACTGCCGAGGCCCGCGTGCCTGGAGCCCGTGCTCTGCAACGGGAGAAGCCACGGCAGTGAGAAGCCCGCGCACCATAATGAAGACCCAACGCAGCCAAAAATAAATAAATAAATAATAATTTAAAAAAGACATTTCCTGCACAGTGATAATACCATCAATGGAGCATAGAATGTAACAATTCAGAAAAGCATATTATTTTTAATTTTAGCAACTCCAAACTACACAAAAAATGGTTTCTAAATTGTCTTTATAATGCACAATATCTATAGTACTTACCTCTAAGATCTGTAAATCCGTACTTATGGTTCTCCCTATTACGTATAACAGAGTAACCAATGAGTGTGCTCCATACCTACAAAGCAACGAGATGCTAATCATGAGTGGAAAATGTTTGGCAAGACAAAGCTACAGAGCAGATAAATGCTAAGTATACAGCCCTTATTAATTCCTAACTCCCAAATCTAAGCAAAACCATATATGAACTTGTTTAGCTTCATCTTTTCATAGAAAATTCATGCTATAGGAAAGTCTATTAGCACAAAGAATTATAGTTTAATATTGATTTGTGTAACAGATAGTTTTAAAAGTTTCATTTAAATATAAAAAGCTGTTCTTAAAAACAGTAACAACAACTGTTTTTATCTTTCAAAATGAAGTGGTTAGAACAGATGTCACATACCCAAATTAAGAAGTTTTAAAAGAGAATAGGTAGGGCTTCCCTGGTGGCGCAGTGGTTGAGAGTCCGCCTGCCATGCAGGGGACACGGGTTCGTACCCCGGTCCGGGAAGATCCCACATGCTGCGGAGCGGCTGCGCCCGTGAGCCACAGCCGCTGAGCCTGCGCGTCCGGAGCCTGTGCTCCGCAACGGGAGAGGCCACAACAGTGAGGGGCCCGTGTACCGTAAAAAAAAAAAAAAAAAAAGAGAAAAAAGGTAAATAATCAAAGTATACCCCTTAAAAAGTGTAGTTAATATAGAATCAGTTTCAGAAACGCTGACTAAAATACCCTGAAAGCTTATTGAAACTTCTGCATTTGTATATGCTTTTTGGAAAGGGATTCTCAAAATGTTGGTGATCTCTGAGGGCTAAGTACTCTGGCTTTCCTTAAGCTCCCTCAAACAGGTATGGTAACTGAAACTTCCCCTTTAGTTTAGTGACCTTGAATAGCTGACAAGAATTGTCTGAAAAACAGCCATGACATGTTGCTATGGAAAAACAGCAGATACATACCTGCTCAAAGTGTTGCTGTAGTTAAAAGAGTAAAGAAAGACTTTTGGATGCATTAAAAAGGAAAGAAAATTTAAAAGGTTAATATAATGGCCTGGACAAGAAAGGGTTGAATCAGGATTCTGTCTTGATAGTTGATAGTTAACACATACAATTGGTTTACTTCAAAAATGTATACTTGAAATTAAAAATTGTAAGAGTTAACATTGGCATGATATGCAGACAAAGGTGAGAGAAACACAGTGCTTTTGTCCTTTTTAAGTTCCCAGCTATAACTTAAGCTGAGTCTACTTCAGCAAAGTGGAGAATAAGAGACTGTCTACATATAATTCGGGCAACCAAATCTGTTCCTATGGGGAAAGAAGAAATATTTCTTAGTTCTTCATTTTGGTTGGCCAGGTTTAAAAAGCCTGTGAAATGACTCAAGAAATTTGACAAAACTTGCAAAGAAACTGAGTTCCAGACTTAAAAAAAAGTAGGAAACAAAAGAAAACTACCTACATTGCTAAACGTGTGATTTTTCTACCAAATACAGGAGAAAGGTTACCCCAGAGGCAGGGCTGGGTTTGAAGTTACCTTGTGGCAACTTATAAATTGTAAAAATGGGGAATAACATATAGTTAGAAGCATTGGGATGGAGATTAAATGAGATAATGTACACTGAAGCACCTATCAGGGTGCCTGGCACGCTTCATTCCTTCCTGTTCTTGAAAGTTTCAAGAGTAGGTATTTTTGAGACAGATGATTTATCCTTCTCTCTGAAACAGTACTCAACAAAAATATATACATTACAGATAGCTTAGCCCGCCAGTAGTCAAAGGTATTAACATGAAGACAGGAGGCAACATTTGTCAGGATAGTTGCCCTTTCAAGAAATTGATAATATTCAGTGCTGGTCAGCGTGATTTGGGACTCTAGTCCATCTCACCTTCTGCTTCTCCCCTTTCTCACATTTGCCCTCCCCTCCCATCCCTTCCCCTGCCATGTCTGATTTCCAACAGCAAGCTTGGCCACTTAGGCAAGCATGGAGGCAGCCAGGTTATCTCGCCGGACCCAGTGATAGGCAGTGAAAATGGGCCCTCCAGTGCTTGGACACAGCACTCCGATAACATCTTAATTCTCTCAGTTTGTTCCGATTTAACCCTTTCAACTCTATGTTCCCCATCATGAAATACAACAGAGTAGAAGTAAAAGTGAGTGTAAGTTTCTGCTATATTTAAAAAGGATAACCAACAAGGACCTACTGTATAGCACAGGGAACTCTGCCCAATGTTATGTGGCAGCCTGGATGGGAGGGGAACCTGGGGGAGAATGGATACATGTATATGTGTGGCTGAGTTGCTTTGCTGTGCACCTGAAACTATCAGAGCATTGCTAATCGGCGAGACTCCAATTTAAAATAAAAAGTTAAAGAAAAAAGAGTGTAAGTTTTTCAAGCATAGGACTTTAGCCAGTATCACATATTTGGAGAAGAAATAAGGGGTTTGGTGAAGAAGAGGGTAAGATTCGTTTTGGATCAGTTGAGTTTGAAAGTGATGATACCTTGTATTCTATATTCAAATAAAGCTAGGGTATTGCTGTAGGCGGTGAAGCCTGAATCATTTTATGAAAGCCAAAAGCAACATAACAAGCATGAAGCAAACATCATTTCTACCACATCCAATAAGAAGTCACAAAAATCCTATTGTTTCGTGTCTATTCACACATTTCTTCATAGGAGCTATGCACAAGGGCAGGTTCATACTGATTTCTCTGTAACCTGAAAGATGTCTTTATGGTTAGTGGAAGCTCCCTCACTGGGATCAGTATCCAAAAGATCACCTCTCATCTAACAATTAACTAAATACCCCACAGCCACCAGTGCAGTGCCCTGCACGTGGGACTGAGAAGCAGTATCAAACCAAAGTTGTTTTACTCAAGCAAGTGTTCCAAGGTATATATTCAGATTAGGCTCCCTGGGAAGAATCTGGGGCCTGGCTAAGGGGAGCAGATGTTCCTGGACTGCTGTTGGCAGTGTCTCAACTCTAACGCTTGACCAGCCCTATTGCCTCCTTTCCAGGGCCCTAAGCTCCAGCCAGTTATGATGATCAGTCCCAAGTCAGACTCTCAGCCTTGCCCCCAGGCAATTACTGGTGTCCTCCCTTCCATGTAGAAGGTGAGTTTTTCCACCTGCTTGTTCAAATCCCCTTTCTTCTCTTTTATTCCCTAGAGCACTCTCCAACTGTCCTCTGTAACATTTATCAGAGACCGTGTCTTAATCACTTTATAACCCCCAACAACAGCTTGAACTAACTGTGCCTTGGCATAGAAAAACCAGAACTTCTTATTACCAGAAAGAACTTTATAGCTGATCACATACAACATCTTTGATTTTATGCAACAGGAAACCAAGGCCTAAATGTTAACTAATAGGCCATCAATAGATAAATGTTGTTCTAGTTACAGTTCCAGATGAGAGGGTTAGAGAATTTAGTTTCTCATCTGTCTTTGGCTTGGAACAACTGATCTACTGGCAGAATGACACTTTGTTTACATTAGCATAGACAGTACATAGCAGGATTACAGTGACAAGACGCCGGGCTAGATGCTAGATTTCCTTCTGATGGGCTTCTTGGAGCTTTATGATGCTAACATATACTGTGAATTTGTGGAGGTTAAAACAGACAGTTTCCAAACCGATGGGCTACTGTCTCCTTTGTTCACAGAAGGCTTGGCAGTGTCTCCATGAATAATGCTCAGTGAAACACACTGGAGAAATACCAGTTTCAAAGCTAATTTGCGAATGATCGGTCACATTATAGCAAATTTAAAATAAATCCTTTTCACTTAAATAACATCAAATTTAATTTGTCATCGCATTTGTTTACTTACACTTTTATACTACCTCTATCATTTTATGAAGACTGGTGACATACAAATATTCATGTCAAATATAATTGTTTAATAAGTGCTAAGTAAATATTCTGATGTACAAAGAATAAGGTAAGCATTCCTGTGCCGTTTTAATGTATATAACATTTTAATTATTAATTTGAGCTTTTATTTCCTCTTAACAATCCATATATAACATTACTGTCTGTTCAAAATCATTTGCAAAATTCGGCAAGACTGGTGACTATAAATTGCATCCTAAAAATAAATGTTTTAGATGTAGAAGGCAAATTTATTTGAGTCCCACAGACTTTTTGTAGCAGAATGTGTAAGAGGAGTGAACTGAGCTTAATGTATCATAAACAGAAAAGGAAAGGCATCTATTTTATGAGCATGGCATTTTGTTGATAAAAGATAAAAACATTTAAGCCATGGTTAAAAGTGAATGCATTTAGAATTCTAAGACCTTCTTAGGGATAATGAAATACCTGTTTAGAGTTTTTTTTTTTTTTAAAGGAAGTCCTTCTATACTCGTATTTAATACAGTTAAATCATTTAAATTGCTAGACAATGGACTTTTTAGAGAGCGCTGCAAACATGTCTCTGTTCTCCAAATGCAGAAAACAGTTCTTCTGAGGAATAAAAATTAGCCCACACTTAAATTAAGAGCAATCTTTCCCATGGGTTGCTCAAAGCCATTTTGGGGGCTTAACTAGTTTCATGTGCTGTGTATGGTATAGAAAGAGAGGAGAAATAAATTGAGAGGCTGTTTTACCCCTTAGAACAGTGTTGTCCAGTTGAATTCTCTCGAGGACAGAAATGCTCTCTATCCGAGCTGTCCAGTATGGTAGCTACTGGCCACACTGAGCACTTAAAACAAGGCTACTACAACAGAGGAACTGAATTTTTTTTTTTTTTTTTTTTTGGCTGTGCCACAAGGCCTATGGGATCTTAGTTCCCCAACGAGGATTGAACCTGTGCCCCCTGCAGTGGAAGCGTGGAGTCCTAACCATTGGACCACCAGGGAATTCCCTGAGGAGTTGAAGTTTAAATTTTATTTAATTGTACTTAATTTAAATTTAAATAGCCATATGTTGGCTAGTAGCTATCATATTGAGCAATGCAGGCTTAGATAATTTTTTAATCCAGTGTCAATTGGTTCCATGTTAAACTACGCCGGGGTCACCTGGGGTGCTACAGAAAGGTAGAAATTTTGCACCCTATTCTGGCAGATTCTGATTTTCAAGGGGTAGAGTGGGCTTGGGAGTCTTTAGGTGTATGAACCACCTAAACCTGCATCTTTCTCAGGGCCCGGCAGGGCATCTGAAGGCATGGAGACTGTGATAGGCTGCGGTGATTACAAGCTGGGTCCTCAGGAAAATCATCACTTATTTTTTAAAGGAGCTGTTCTCTCAGCAGTTTAATTCCAAAATTGCTGCTAGATTGTTCCACAGGATGCTCTGGAAGAAAACAGTCAGGGACTGTAGCTGAAGTGAATGATCTTGAGCAAACTGATCACGGCAGCAAGAGGGCAGATGGCTTCCAATCCAGGCAAAGCTAGGCATGTCAGCCCAAGAGGCGGCATGATGGGGGTCAGAGCTTTCGATGCAACCTCCAGGGAGAGAGAACAGAACGTAATAGACAGCCCTACGAGGCTGGAACCTCTGAAACCTCATGGAACAAGGCAACCTGAGTAAATACTTCTGATTTATACCCAACTCCCAAATTCCCACTGGGAAGTAGGACCTGGGAAGGAGGGCATTACCTTTAATGACTTAAACAAAAATGGAAGACATAATTTACCCCCAAGGTCATAAGGCTCTCTGAACAATGAACCTAGAATGATAATTTAAAACAAGAGATAAGGCCAATTTTCTCAATATTGTGAGTATGCTATGCATGTCCCCCTGATGAGCCAGAAAAACGGTACTGTACAAAAGAACTTTTATCTACATGTTTAAAATTTCTGATTTAAAAATACATTTTTGGTGTATTGTAAAGGTGTTCAATACATGTCCATAAAAGAAAAACATTCCATTATTTTGCTGTATAAGAGAACCATATTCAGATTCTTAAACATTTATATTCTAAATATATCTTCTGTTCCAAAGACCTAAATTTATTTGCAAAAAGTATCTTCCAACTTTACAGCTGTGTATGTACCTGAACTGTTGTCTACTCTGATCTGCTAACTCTTCAGTATGTGAATAGTTGTAGGACATATTATTCGAGGCTTTTAAGAATGTATGGTTCAGGCTTTCAGAGACTGTGAAGCTGGGGAGATCCTGGCCTGGAGAAGGATGCTGTCAGATCTCCTTGTCTTCCCAGCCCTTTGACCCTCCCCTGAAGCCCCTCAATAAAATGGCTTGATCCACCCTCCCACCCCTCGCAAAACGAACGTATGGTTAAGTCATGTTCTAGAAAGAGCAGCTATCAAGGGTATGCTGCCTGACTTGTGCATTTCAACGTCTATTTTACCTGGCAGGCTAAGTAGCAAGCAGATTTAATCTTAAAAGGTGAGAAACATAAAAAGTTCAAGAACATGGAAGCCAGATACATAAAGGGAATCTGACAAAAGGCACAAGCAATATCCAAGCTTATGTAGTAATGAACATTGCTGTTTCTTAAAGATATGGTGATGTACTTCACAAAAGAAATGAATGGATGATGTACACTCATACCAAAAAACATGACTTGCTCTAACCTGTGTCTCTGAAGACAAGATTCTTAGTGGGCACAGTGGGAAACTGAGGTAGATAAGTACCCCATGCAAATCTACATTCACAAAAAAAGCCAAAACTGAGGATAAGTGACCTTATCTTTCACACAGCTAGTTTGTGGTGAGACTAAACGCAGGAAAATTGATCAGTTTTCTAGTCAATGCAAAGGACTTTAGTGACCTGGCCAGACTAAAGTTGAGCCACTAGCACCAAACCAATGAACTAAATGAAAGAGAGGTCTCACATTTCCTCCTTACCTTTCACTCACAGCTTGCCAATTGTTGATTAAAAAGTCCTTTGCAACGTATCGGCCAACTTCAGAGGCTGCCACAGCTTCGATTATATTTGTTTCATTAAAAGTGAATGGAGATGTAGTGATGGCATACTCCATATATCTGTAAAAGCGCATGTGGCAGAAAATAAATACGTAAACATTATCCAATGGAAAGAGTAAATTTAAATAAATGGAGCTAAAATCCCATATGGTTCTAAGTTACTGAATTATAAGTATGTTTCATATTAATTCTTATATTAGCTCATTTCTATTTTTCTCTCTTTGGTTTATTAATTGCATTCCTCCACCAAGAGCCCTTTCAAGGTAAGTTGTAATAATCACCTGTTAAGTATCCACGGATCTTTACTGCAGCTCATTGCATAAGCAAGTTGAATCCTTTCTTCTTCCTTCGTTTTATTATTGTAGATATTTAACAAAAAATCCCATTCTTTATCATTTCCCAAGGCAATGCCATAACATAAAATCACATTTTTAATCGGATAAGGTATTCTGTAAGGTATAACATGCAATGATATTTTTCATAGCAGTTAAGTTATATGTTAATCTAGGTTGTCATATATTTAGAAGTATAAATCTAGAAAAAAATGTCTGTGATCTCAGATATAAATATCAAAAGTAGGAATCTAGAGAAGCAATTGTGAAAACTGTCATTCATATTAACATCTTGAGATCGTCAAATTAGTTTAGAAACTAAGGAGTTTTGAGGGAGAAGTAAATTAGAACAGTACAAACAGTGTATGTTGATAACTCAGTTTGGTTTCATATCTTATTATCACATTCTCTAAGAGTCCATCTGAGGTCATATTTTAAAGGTAATATAATAACACCAGAATGACAGAGTGCTGGTCTCAGGTGTCAGTGAGACTGCAAACTTACACAGAAAGAGATGCACTTTTATATATGTGAATAAATAACTATAATGAACAACCTAAATAAGACTCGAGATAACCACAGGTGCTTATTAGGGAATGCACCGGCAATGAGAGGTCCTGGATGAGAATTCCGTGTATAAATTCTAATCTATTGCTATGCACAGACCTCCATGAGACAATTGTGTGTGTGTGCTTTTTAAAGGACATTTGAAAAAAATAGTAAGAGAGAGAGATTATCTAAGTAAAAACAAAATGTTCATTCCCAGAGTAAGAGCATCAAAAGGAAGAGAAATTGTTGGTGCTGAAACAGGACAAAAAGAAGGGCAATTACAATATTACACTTACTCATTCTCTGGATGGTTCATCCAGTTTCTGAAAAGGTCTCTTGACAGCTGAAGACAGTCCTCAAGACCCAACCAACACGCAGTTCCAAAAAGTTTTTCCAGTGATATTCTTGAAGGAAATATCAAAGAAAAACATGTATTTTTCATTACTGCATTGATTTTTTCTGCCGCCAAGAATATGTGTTTCATAAAAAGATGGGTATTTGAAAACATCCTTCCAATAACATCAGGTTTGTTAAAAAATAGCCTTTGTGGATGGCAACTGTATTTAAGGTTCAGGGAAATATTTGCTGAGAGGCTCTCAGGCACCAAATAAGCTCCAACACTGGTACTTTTTGAAAGTAAGAAATAAATTACTGCCTTCCTTCATCTCCCTCAAACACACAAGGGTGTACACACATGCCACATCTGTTATCAATTTATTTTTCCTCCCTTACAGATAAAAAAAAATGACTTTTAAGTATCTGATATAACACACTTAAAAATAAAGTTCTTTCTCTACACATGAGAGCAGAGGGAATGGTTTATATCTCTCCTTCGACAGCGAGCCTCTCCTGGCTTAAGCTTCTGTTTCTTCCTCCTGGCTATTAACGTTGTCTCCAGAAAAAGAACGGACGTTTCTGCTTTGTTTTTATAGCTGAGCAGAGGTACACATTACCATTGCAAACGAAATAAGTTCAAAAGAACACGGAGAAGAACAATGATAAATCCAGATGAGCGGTGCCTTGAGGTGTTGCAGTTTGGAGTAAGAGGTAAAGGAATTCAAATGGGTCAGGAGTTTCCGGAAAATGCCAAGAGGCAAATCTCCATTGCTCCACCCTCCCTCCAGTTTCATCCCAGCCTGGCCTGACCTTCTGATAAGCAGAGGTAGAATCTCCAGGGGGGAGACCTTCTGAGAGACAGTTCTGAGCACTCATTTACACATTCACTCCTCTCCCCACCCACCCCAAGCTGGCAGCAGCAAGATGGAATTCTCTGGAAGCACAGTCTAACTCCCTGAGATTGCTCTGAAGAGAACTGGCCCAGGGATGCTACAAAAAGCAGGTCACTTCAGGCCAGTTTAGGAGAGCCAAGGCCATGGCTGGTTAACAAAGGTGCTGCCTGGTTGGGCCTTTCTGTTTGCCTATACAACTTGCCTACCCACTTTCCATCCTAGCTCATCCCCGCTGTCTTCCATCCATCTGTAAATCCAACCACATTGTTTGTCCATTCACACGCTTAGCTCTAAAATTTCTCCCCTCTCAGGATACTTGTGAGAAAGAATAACCCCACCTTTTGTATTTCTTACTTGGTCTAATTGGTTTCGGCTTGATGTTGACTAGAGCTGTAAATATAATCCCTGTACCATTCATTGTTGGTCACAGATTCCCTCACTAAATCTGGAAGCCCAGACTACACACACAAACCTTGTGTCACAGGGAAGCCAGCGGTACTGCAGCCCTGTTTTGCCTTTCACCCCCTTTCCAGAGCAGCATGACAACAGGCATAGTCCCCTAACCGAACCAACGATGGAGAAATCGTTTGCAATACTTGGTAATGCTCACACACAGATGACTGATACAGTTCACTGTCAATCTCCCTAATCATATCTGCATAATGTTAGAATTTCTGTCTGACATAAATAATGGAACTTTTCCCTCTGTCATCAAGAATATACAGAGGGGATTTTTTTCCCCGTGTATTCTTCCTGTACCCTTCAATTTGTTTGTATAGGCTGGTTTTTCTTAACACAACCCTTCATCAATAGTACAACATACTTAAGATTTCAACCAGTAGCCTAAGATTGGAGAATATAAAGCTATAAATTCCTGTGTGTACTTGTATGTGCTTCGCAGGTAAATTAAGATTCCCAAATTACTATTTCCTATTAGGATACATGTAGCTCACCAATCCCAAATCTACTATTCTCAAATGGCACACAAATCTCTCAGTGAATCATAACTATTAGTATCTTATTTTATGAATCTGGAAGCCTATCCATTAATATGAATTATTTAATTCAATGATCACTGCTCAAAAAGTACTTACAGAGCTAAATAGTCATCCTGCAATGTTGCCACATTTTCACGAATTATAGTTGAATAAGTATTCCATATTGAGATAAGTCTCTTTAACAGATACCTCTATAAACAATAAAGAAAATATACTGTTAGTTCTGCTCACAACACCCAATTTACACTGCTTTTCTCTTTGTCTGAAAAGACATTAACAGAGAGGTGATAGATATTTCTTCAGAAGTAATCTTTATTTGTCACTAAATGTATAACTTTTAAAACCTCTATAGGTTCAGTTTCCTCAAACGTAAGCAATACGTAAACAATATGATGTGTGTCAGCACACTGCTTGGCACATAGTAGGAACTCAATAAATATCAACCATTCTTATCATTTACTATCACCCAAACATTTCCAGTTGTCTTTAAAATAGAGAAAAAATGGAGAAATATAAAACAAACTTTCTACCTTGAAACTTCCATGCTTAGTATATATATATCTCTAAAAAAACAAGGAATACTGATTTATGCCTTGGATTAATTTAAGCCCTGACTCCAAAATAAAATTTCTTCAATTGAGCTATCGGCTGGTAAATAATAAGGTTATAATAGTCCTACACTTACCAATACATCCCTCAGAATAAATTAATGTTATTCATTGAAATTTTTAAAAACAAACATTAGCTTTTACTTCTTCACTCAAAACCAGTGATCAGATGTTATCAGTGAGCCACCTTGATCCCACCAACAAGTGCCTTCTCCTACTGGTCGCCATGCCACATTCAAGTACGTTCCCATCAGCACTTTGTACACTAGATAAAAGAAAGTCTGGAACCCTGAAGTGCTTGCGATCTCGCCTTCAGACTGCCCCAGACTCTCACTTGGAATCATCACCTAATACACTTGCTGTTTTGTTTGCGGCCCTTAACTCTCCGAGGGGCTGCTCCCAAACTTTGGCTTTGGTTTTACCTGTGCCATCTTTCTTACGATCACTGTTAAAGATCTAATAACAGAAATTTCCCCTTTTATAGATGTTATTTTCCCCTTTTATAAGGACAAGTTGGCATGGTTATTTCTTCATTCATTAACTCTAATTTCGCCATCTCTCTTCCCAATATCAAAAGCAGCTTCAAAATGTTTACTTTTTTGGAATATAACTCTCTGGTTTTAAGTGCCGGCCCTATAAATCAGAGGATATAAATCATGGATATAGAATTGTGAAAAATCATTCTGTTAGACTAACAATCTTTTAGGGAAACAGCTGTTAATAGATACTATCCTTTTTTAATAAGAAAAAAAAGGCATACCATTTCCATCCACTTCTGGTTTCTTAAGACACATTTATACCTCACCAAGAATTAAGAAACTGTCCAAACGTCTCTCATACTCATCTCCTAGACCAGGTCTATGACTAAGGTATTTTATTCTAAGAGTAAACAACCATTCCTAAGAAAATGAATATATACAGAACAAATAGACTATTATTTTGGGAAAGATGGCTTTCACGGACACTATCTAAAATATGGAAGGAGGAAGACAGAAATAAAAAAAAAACCATCTAACAAAGAATGAAATTACCTTTAATAGTGGATATATATCATGGTTGTTCACATCAGAAACGAGATCCCTGGTCACTAGGTTCACCAAAACTGCATGCCACACTATGATTTCATCTTCTTCAGCAAGGTACTTGGTTAAATCAAGTGCTGTTTCAATCTCTATATAACTGTTTCTGTTTGGTTTAAAAAAACCCCACAGACTCAAAAACTCATATTTGTTCCATGCTTCAGTGCCTGACTTCAATAAGGTATATGAAATCAAAAAGCTAGAGGGTAAAAGTCCCATCTCATCGATGAAGTAGAACCCAAGCAATGTGGACAGACCCTCAATTTCAGCTTGATAGGTTCAAGTGCCCAAATTCTTGGAGATTGTAGAAAATCCAGGCCAAATGTTGGGCTGGTTGTCAGGCACTAGAATATTTGTGCATTTGGTATACATTCTTAAGAGACTATAATTTCCATTCAACAAGTGTTAATTAAAAGTCATTCTCTATCTAATTCTCTGCCAGATACTAGTAGGAACACAAAACAAGTGAACACAAACAGGACACTCCTGTTGCTTACCAGCGAGGAGCTTATTACTTAGTGAAGAGCTGAGACTTGCACATAAGAAGGTGTTAATCAAAGGCCCTAGCAGAGGCAACGAATACAATAAAGTAGCAAAGAAGAAAAATATACGCATGTGATGGGAGAGGCAGGGAGGCCTTCTGGAGAAGGAAGTTGAGAAAAGCAGTGAAGGAAGGGTAGGATTGGAATAAGTAGAGAGATAGAGGAAGGCAGTTTAAAGTGGGAATTAGTGTGAGGGGCAGACCAAGTTAACCGAGGCAGGGAACTTCTTTTATGTGTAGTGAGAGATGGGAGTTAATAGGTAAGGTAAATCAAAAGTGTGGAGAGCCTTGAGTATCAGGGTGAAGAGTTTACATGGGGTGGGAAGGTGTTTAAACAGCCGGGGTAACATCATGAAATCAATACCTTAAAATTTTGTTGCAACTGTGCTGCAGAAAACAGAATGGACTTCTAATATAAATAGAATTCTAAAGGACTAAAGGCTGGAATCTAATGCAATAGGCTAGGCAAAGGGTGATGAAAGCTTGGCTTAGCACGGAAGCAGTGAAGGTGGTAAGTGAGGTGAGAATCCAAAAGACATTCCCCAGAACCCCAGAATGAATAGATAAGACATGATGACTTGATGGGAGATGGAGAGAGAGAGAGAGCAGTCAAGGATATCTCTGATGTTTCAAGCGTGGGGATGGGAAAAGTAGTAGTAGCTTCGACAGACAGAGAGAAATTGATAGCAGGAGCAATTTGGAGACAGAAATAAAGTTCAGTGTTTAAGGTACTGAATTTAAATGACCACAGGATAAACAGAAGACTGGAGGAGACAAATAGACATCTAGATTTAGAAGTCATCAACATATCCTTTCATAAACATTTATTGCATACCTTATATCTGCTAGGCACTGTACATGTACATAATAAAATGATCACTGAAACCATCAGAAGGCATGAATTATCCAGAGGAAAGATAGAAGAAAATAACACAACCATGACTGGTCTTAAGGATGCTCACGTCAGCAGGAAGAAGAGAAGTCAGATCCTAGATGAGAACTAGGTTTGCATATTGGAGCCTCAGGAAGTCAAAAAAGAAGTTTGCAGGAGGATGTGGTTAACAGTATAAAGTCATGATAATCTTAGAGAAATGTTTCAGCAAAGTAGTGAGCAGGGAAATGTGCTGTACATCACATGGGGAAAAGTAGTAAAAAAACGAAGGATAAAATATGCAGACCTTCATTCAAGAAATACAACAGGCCAAAGAAAGAGAGAACACACTGCATCATTTATTATGTGTACTCCTTAATTTTACTGTCTGGAATTTAAGTTCTGAACATATATTCATTTTCCTGGTTAGAAACTTACCAGCAGAGCTTATAATGAGTAAATCCAATGTAAATGAAATCAGTAATTCTGTAATACGCTAAAATTCAGGCTCATTAAAATTATACCTACAGTCATCATCATTGGGTAACAAAAATCCTTCAAAATCTTAATTGATAGTCTATTTAGTTAGGGAAACTTTTTTTTTTTGGATACATCAATTACTTTATTTCCTTAACTTCCAGTATCTTAGAAAAATATGAATACATCTTCTACAATCTTCCTAAATTTATCCATTTAGGGGCTTCCCTGGTGGCGCAGTGGTTGAGAGTCCGCCTGCCGATGCAGGGGACACGGGTTCGTACCCCGGTCCAGGAAGATCCCACGTGCCACGGAGCGGCTGCGCCCGTGAGCCATGGCTGCTGAGCCTACGCGTCCAGAGCCTGTGTTCCGCAACGGGAGAGGCCACAACAGTGAGAGGCCCGCGTACCGCAAAAAAAAACCCACAAAAAAACCCAAACATTTAGCAGTCTTTACAAATGCAAGTCTGAATCACTTGTATTTTACCTAAGTTTTTCCTCTTGATTGAGATTTTTAAAATAATGATTCTTATACATTTTGCAATAATCCTATAAATATTTAAACACTATTACTTTTTTCTATTTACATCATCTCTACTGCATCCTTCTAAAGGTTTTCCTTTAAGGGCTTCCTTTTTTTTTTTCTCATGGAAAGGCATTTTATTTTATTTATTTATTTTTACAAATTTATTTATTTTATTTTTGGCTGTGTTGGGTCTTCGTTGCTGCGCACAGGCTTTCTCTAGTTGTGGCAAGCGGGGGTTACTCTTCCTCGTGTTGTGCAGGCTTCTCATTGCTGTGGCTTCTCTTGTTGCGGAGCATGGACTCTAGGCGCGCGGGCTTCAGTAGTTATGGCACATGGGCTCAGTAGTTGTGGCTCACGGGCTCTAGAGCGCAGGCTCAGCAGCTGTGACGCATGGGCTTAGTTGCTCCGCGGCATGTGGGATCTTCCCGGACCAGGGTCAAACCCATGTCCCCTGCACTGGCCGGCGGATTCTTAACCACTGCGCTACCAGGGAAGCCCAGGGCTTCCTTTTAAAACATTGAATTTTCTTTGCTGCTCCTTTAAGAGTCTTTCAAAATTTCTCCATAATCAGTTTAAACCTTATTATACCAAAGTTAATTTGATTGAAAATATACGATTTTCATATAATTAACTACCAAGTTTTGACTTGAGAAAGAATATATTCCTTCTTGTCAAATTGTTGTAAAAAACATTGTTTTCTGTGGCTTTCATTTCTAATAGTAGTAGATGTTATTGCTCTTATCCTGATAATGACTTTTTTGAATTGCCTTTTTTTCTAATTCTTTTATTGTTGCAAAATACACATAACATTTGTCTTCTTAACCGTTTTAAAGTGTATGGTTCGCTAGTATTAAATACATTCATATGTATAACTGATTTAATTTGCTGTACAGAAGAAACACAACATTGTAAATCAACTATACTCCAATAAAAAATTTAAAAAACATACATTCATAATGTTGTGCACCCATCATCTCTATCCATCTCCATAATTCTTTTCATCTTGTGAAACTGAAACTCTGTACCCATTAAACAATATCTCCCCATCGCCCCCTCCCACCCTCCTGCACCAGCCCTTGGCAACCACCAGTCTTTCCGTCTCTCTGACTCTGACTACTAAGTACCTCATGTAAATGGAAACATACAGTATTTGTCTTTCTGTGCCTGGCTTATTTCACATAGCTTAATGTCCTCAACGTTCATCCATGTTGTTGCATATTCTAGCAACTTTTATATCATAAATTCCGCAATAACCACAGAATTTGATCCTAATCTTAATAAGTTAGGGCCTGTATATACTAAAGAACCAAGTTCATAGTGATGAGGTTATTATTTTTATAAATTTCTCAAGGTATACGCTAAATGATGAAAGAAGAAAATATACTCACTTAGACAAGGAAAAGGCATCATCAACCAACTGAAGTCTGTGAATAACAGGAATAGCCTGCAAATGAGATCCAAAAATGTTCAGGAAAAGATGAGAACATTTTTAGTGAAAAAATAACTTTCAAAATAATAACAACATTAAAAATCATTGCTGCTTACAAAGCACTTTCATGTGAATTATGTACAGAGAAACAATCATTTCTAAGGATAGTTCCCATAATTTATTTATTATACATCTGCTTTTGATAAGTGATCCCTCTGGACATCAATCATAAGGCTTAAATATGGCTGAGAGTTTTGCCAAAATACTCTGTGAAAAACAGCATGTTAAAAAATAAAACAGGAAGCCAAGTTTAAAGGGCCTCTCCAAAACAGAAAGTATACATTAAATTGTATCACAATGTCCAAATTGTTGTCAGGGGACTTTTTGGCATAGGAAGCCTTAGAGAATATTACTTAGCACTATTTTGGCAATAGTGAGGTACTCTTTTCAATGGTATCTCTCTTCTTAAGAGTTTACTAATTTGACACAATACCACCAACGGAGCCCTTTGAATCATGAAAAGGCAGGAGTCAACTGCCAACCTAACTCCTCAGGCTTCGGTTTGAGCTCCCTGGCGTTGTCAGGCCACAGGACTCTGTCTCAGCTTGTGTCCTAAGGGTGCCCAAAGTTTCCTACAGCAGTCCTTCAATACGCCCCCTCAGCATGTTCATATATGTGGTCCCAGAAAATTTATCTTCACATCCCTTTAAGCATCTGAACAAGCCAAGCTTATTTCTTTCCTTTGTTGTAGCCGCATATCTTTTCTGGCAGTAATAATAACACTTACATTTTCTAGATTAATATTAATAATAGAAATGTTTTAATTGTTCAGCAATTATGTTGTATGAATAATTGACCCCAGTTTTCCAATAAGTAAATCTACAAGGGTTTCAAGAAATCATAGCTATAATGGCATGACCTAGTGCTTCCACGGTTAAGACTGCCCTTAGAAAGTAAAAAGAATTTAGCTACTCTGAAAAAGATTTTTAAATAAAGTATTATTATAACTGTTTTTTGTACCTTTATTCAAAAGACCAATGATAATTTTTAAAAATTACTGATCATGTTCTGAATGCCCAAATTGTGTCAGGCCTCTGTTAAACATACTACACACATCACCTTATTTAATCTTCACAACAACGCGTTGAGGTCTATTACACCCATTATTACACTGATAAGGAACCCAAGGCATGACTGGGCATACAAGAGGCCCAAGGTCACACATCTGGTAAATGATGAACAAAAATATGAACAGAAGTCCACCTGACCCAGAACCCGAGCTCTGGACCAGTATGCTGTGTACTGCCTCTTCTGCCAGAGAGGCTGCTATGTGACTCACAGAACTTTTGAAGAGAGAGACACCTAAGATATCTTTTAGTTCAACTCTCTAGTTTTATGAATAGAGACTAAATGAACAGCCCAAGATTTCACAGCAGAGCCAACTCTATAGACCTCTAAGCCAGCACCCATCTGCACCAATGGAGATTTGGTTTAATTCAACCAATTAAAATCTGACTGATAAGAGCTAGCCAATATTTTAATATTTCTATATTGCATAATAATTTACAGTTGTTTTACAACTTAAAGCAATATTGGATTATTATTGATACCTTGTGAATTAAATTGTCTCCTTTGAGGGAGGGTGAAAATACAGTTTTTAGAAAATTAACATTTTCTAGCATATACGTACTGGCACCTATTATGGGCTTTGAAATTTTAAGTATATGTTTACTTACATCATCTCTAATCTTCATAAGGAATAAGAAAGATATGATATTATTCCCATTTTAAAGGGAAGAAATTGAAGCAGAACATTTAACTTGCCTAAGATCACAAAATTAATGGTTAATAGGAAATTCTTCTGATTTTTTACCTAGAAAGGTAAAATTATTGTGGAAAAGTGAGATTAATGTTCAAAAACACAATGCATTCAACCAAAACCTCTCCTTTCTAAGAATAAGAAAAAAAAATCCAGTATGCCTTGGGGCGAGGGGTGGCAACAGGGGTCAGGTTCCCACCAGACAGGTTGATGAAAGCTCAACCTCTAAAGGCTAGAGAGTGCAATATTAATGATATTTAATAAAAGGTGTAAAAATATAACCTTACCTTAGGATCTTTTTCAAGCTGTTGATTTAATTTCTTCCAACCAAATTTATCATAGTTAACTCTATAATATCCAGTCATATTCAAATTTAAAATCACCCAGTCATGATCAGAATCTGAAACTTGCATTTCAGGGAATACTTCTACAAAGAAACAGGTGACAAGTTTGAAATGGTACATTTTAAAAATATTTTACTACACATCTGTACTACACCCTCTTAATTCTAAACAATAAGTCCAATAAAACAAAAAGTAAAGATATTGTAAAATATGTATTGATCTTACCACATAATTACATTTTTTCACATATAATGGCTTTTGATCAGAAACTTTTCTTTAAAGCTCTATGTTCAACAAGAATGATACAATATTTTAGTTGTAAACAAGATAGCTTTCCAAAAGATAGACATTTCAGGCTTCCCTGGTGGCACAGTGGTTGAGAGTCCACCTGCCAATGCAGGGGACCCGGGTTCGTGCCCCGGTGTGGGAAGATCCCACATGCCGCGGAGCAGCTGGGCCCGTGAGCCATGGCCGCTGAGCCTGCGCATCCGGAGCCTGTGCTTCGCAATGGAAGAGGCCACAAGAGTAAGAGGCCCGCGTACCACAAAATAAAAAAAAAAAAAGAAAGAAAGAAAAAAAAAAGATAGACATTTCAACATTTTAGTCTCTGCCTTTATATATATATATAAAATATATATGTTTACACACATATATATATACATACACATATATATATTTGCATATATATGTGGAGATATTTTTAAAAATTTGTTACTTACTGCTGCTTTTATCTAGCCAGACTAAAGACTGTGTAGTTCCATTTTTTATCCAAAGGATAGGTACAATCCATGTGTCACTTTTTGGAAAAAAATGAAAAATTCAGTTAATGTTCACACATAAGAATATCAGCTCTGAGCCAATATTAAATAAGATGATAAAATAACTGACCTCAAATTCTTTGGTCATTCCCTGTGGATATGCAGGACTTTGCTCTTAGAATTATTCACTGTTTCAGAAGTCAGTTTTGCTTTGGCTATTTGTTTACTCTCTTCTTGTGTCTTATAGGTTTGCTTCTTTTTATAACTTAAGGTAGCTACTAAGACTCGCCTGTATTTGAAAATTTCAAGGCCTGTTTATATTAAATTACAGCCACCTGGCCTTACTCAGGGGTCATTCAAATGCTACAGACAGACCCAAAGCCATCTGTGCCAAGAGAGTTGAATAATCAGTTAAGAAGCAAAAGCTTGACAAACATTTCAAAAGGCTTCTCCACCTCAAGCTTTCTCCTTGTCTGAAAAGTGTTCAACAAAAACCAGCCAGATTATTCATATTACCTGAATGCTGGCATTCTTCCCACATTGGTGGACATGACCTGGATGAAGTCGCTCACCACAGGGAGGACATTAGTCATCTGAAGAGACACACTACTTGGAATTTGGGCAATTATTTCCAATCTTGCTCAAACGCTCAAAAGTCTGGTTTCTCAGACTTTGAACTGAGGGTCTCTGTTTATGTGATAGCTAAGGCCACCTCTTCTCACAAGTCATGAAATATCATAGGGAGAAGGGACCTGCAGGTCTCCTGTTCCCACCCCCTGGGGTTTTAAAGAAAGAGTAGGACAACTTGAAAATTTTGATGGTGATATATGAAAATTAATTACTCATTTGTGCTGATACTTACTATAATGAGATCTGAGGATCAAAACTTTTATCAAAAACAGTTGTAAGGGCTTCCCTGGTGGTGCAGTGGTTAAGAATCCACCTGCCAATGCAGGGGACACAGGTTTGAGCCCTGGTCCAGGAAGATCCCACATGCCATGGAACAACTAAGCCGTGCACCACAACTACTGAGCCTACACTCTAGAGCCTGTGAGCCACAGCTACGGAGCCCACATGCCTAAACTACTGAAGCCCATGAGCCTGGAGCCTGTGCTCTGCAACAAGAGAAGCCACCGCAATGAGAAGTCTGTGTACTGCAACAAAGAGTAGCCCCCTCTCACCACAACTAGAGAAAGCCCGCATGCAGCAACGAAGACCCAACGCAGCCAAAAATAAATAAATAAATAAATTTATTTAAAAAAAACAGTTGAAAATTATCTAACAAGAAAGAGAAGGAAAGGGAAGGAGAAAGTGATGAATGCTAAGCCACTTTATACTTATTATTCCATTTCACTTCTACAACAATCCCCTGGGATATATGTTATTACATTTACTTTATAGATAAGGCAACTGAAACTCAGAGATTTTGAATAAGACTTACCTAAGGTTTGGATTTGGGATCTATAATTCTAACATTTTAGGTATGGCTACAAAAGCACAGATAAGTGCATGGGCAGACATGCACAGAATTATTCCTCAAGGATACAGTCACCATTCAGTTCCGTTTCTAGGGAAGGGAAGACAACATTGCAACAGGATCCCCTTTCTTCTTAACTAACAGGAGGCATTTCAGGCTCTATTTTACTGCCTTTCACACAGAATTCCGACTAATTCATGACCTCTGTCTAAAGGACAGAAGAGAATGCATAACACCCAAAGCTTTGGTCATGGGTGTGGCCCTATACCCCAGGGGAGGGGCACTGCTTGAATCCCTAAATGCAGGTCTCTGGCCTTGCTCAGCACATGAGGGGCTCTGCCCCATCCTAGCACACCAGCGACATCCTGCATGGAACACTCAGTCACCATCCCAGAATCACCCCATGGAAGGGTGTGTATCCAGTAGGGGTTATGCTTCCTCACCCACAGGCTGGTTTCCATTTGATCACAGCTCAATCCCAAGCAAGGTGAAGACAGAGGAGTAAATCTACCTACTTGTGGGTTAGAAGGGTCTGATTTTTAACTTTTCCAAGATAAAATGGCTCCTGTTTCATGACACCAGTAGATACATTTAAGGTGATAACTGGAAAACCACTCTGGTGTGTCCAACTGTCCATGATGCTTTTTACTGTTGCTGGCAAAAGAATTTTACTCTGGTCATCTATGGCCTGTTTTAAAAAAATCATCATAAAAGCAGATACTTATCATCAAAATCTTTTGAGGTAGCAATCTCCTAAAAGAAACTACATAGCTATTCTCTTCCTCATTCATACAGTACAGTAATTCCCAGTGGGTGATATTCTGGACCAAATGTAATGCTGTTCAACTCTCTATATATGAATGGTTCCTTAGTACATTCACTCATTCATTCATTCATTTACTAACCACATTTTTTATGGATCTAACATATGCAGGCTGTCTTCTGGGCATTGGGAATATAGTGGTGAAGACTAAAGAAGCAACCCCTGACTTAAAGGAGTGTCACAAACAAGGAAAGATGGTTTTCCTGTGTCATCACCATACACACATGGCCTCCCAATCTTACAAAACAACTCAGCAAAAACATGGCAGGAAGTGAGAGAATTACCATTTGAAAATGCCTCCATAGATCATCTTGCTCAGCATTTGAGTAAGAAAATGTCTCCAAATATGACTGTCAAGATAGAAAAGTTAAGGTTAAGATAAATAACATGCCAAAGCAATTTATGTTTACTGTTTTCCAGGTAACAACAATTTTGTAAACTCACCTTAAGTGCGCTGATAAATATTTTCTCATTCAAGAAACTAGAAAGCATCCGGGCCAGAGACGCTCCCTAAGACATAAGAAGCTGTCCATTATTTAAACAAAATTCGGTATCTAAATATTGACGCATTCCATTCTGATAAGCACGATTCTGGGCTGTGCTTCTGATTGCACTGCGCACTTTAGTTGAATGTCTGGGTTATCCCCAAATGTGCTAATAAAATAGGAGACTGTCACTAATTAATAGGTAAAAGATGAGAAAATGTCCTACATATAAAGAGTTCAGGGCGCAGTAAAGTTTTTAAACTGAGATACTCATACGGCAAGTGTAAAGAAAAATTGTTGCCTGCCATTCCAGTTCTACAAGGATCAGCCATTAGCCACTGCAGATGCCCACTGAGAGTGCACCTTGGGGGGAATTCAGGATGAAGCAAAACAGGGAGCATTCTGTGCTTTGAATATCCTGGCCCCTACATAGTTAAGATGCATATGTAAGGAAAAATTTCAATGACCCCAGATTCTTACATTTTTCCATATACAGAAAAGCACTAAAATTATTAACTTGAGATGTCTGTTCCTTGTGATTAGCAGTAATCTTTTTATGCTTGACTGCATGTTTTTCCCAGCAAAAAAAGTTCAGATATATCCTGGCTCCTCCCTTACCACTTCGGAGTAGTTTCTCGGAGCACTCTGAGAGGCTGTCTCCTGGGCTATAGTCCTCAGTAAGATTCCTGAATAAAACTTAACTCACAACTTTTATGTTGTGTGTTCTTTCAGTCGATACAAGTACAAATTTCTACCAAGCAGAAGGGTTCACCTTAAAAGTAGCAAGCTAAGTCTATATTAATAAAGGTAGATGATACTGAGCACCTATTGTAGTTGATTAATATTTACTAGATAAGAACTGATTTAACCACGTTTTCTGAAATCCATCTATTGAATAATATTAAGGTTTTTGTACCAAAGTTGTGTACTAGCACATTAGTCTAGGACCCTTAGAATCCATTTTATGTAGCTTTCTCCAAGAGTGCAGAACAAATGTAAATGTGTAACTGATTTTACCTTGTTGTAAGTAAATAGGTCAAAGAGCTCGTTTATTTCATTGGTTTCTGTGAAATTTTCCACCTTCATGGAGACGGCTCTAGATACCAGGGCGTGATCTTCTCTGAGGACACCATGTAAAATGTTAGAAAAAAAGATCTCATTCTAAAAGGAAAACATTGAGCCACGTTAACTTCTGAGGTGTCACAGAAACACAAAGTTCAATGTTCCTAAAATACTTTCAAAAACTAACACTGAAGAAGGGAAAAATCAATAATTGAGAAGTACTCTTTGGGCTACAATGGGCCAAATAAGTTAGAATTCCTTGAATAACAAAACGCTAGGATACTTTCCTTCCCATTTGGTATCCATTTTTATTTCAATTTTAAAAAATCAATTACAAAAGTTAATGTGGTTTCCAAGAGAGACATCTACATTCCCCTAAGGAGGTTCCTGGCCACCCAGACAGGTCCTCCAGGTAACAGCATCTCTAGGTGGTTTCAACCCTCTAGAATTTTATTGGTAATTTTATTAGCAATCCCTTAAAATTTATCAGTCTCTGTTACAGGGACATTTATAAACCAAAAGCATGCCAGATTTACAAATTCACAATGATGCTGATGTAATATGAGTTATTAGAAATAAATCCACAGACTGGATACTCATGCATTAAGAGATGGCAATTATTTATATTTTAATAAGTACAGAACTCTCCAAAAGACTAGATCTCTCTTAGACACGTGACAAGGGCCATTTCTTTCTGAAGGAAAACCAAAGAATAGTCAAGAGGTACCTGGGAAGACAGAGCCAAAGAAAGAGCAGTGGAGAAGCTACAGGGACAGCTCACTCATACCCTGGAGAGCCGGGCGAGCACTTGGTGATCTCCATGAAGTCTCAGCTCCCTAGTGACTCTTGCCGGGGTCCCCAAGTTGACTCTCTAACCCCTCAACAGTGTCAGATAAATTTTCAAACTCTGCCCCACTTCCATTTGCCAATGTTCCAATCAACCCTCTCCTATTAGCACATTATGTTTAGATTTATTAATACTTTGGTTAAGCTATCATCAAACTCCACTCTTCCCCAAATGAGAAAGCCTGTCATTTAGAGCAATGCATGTGAAACTTTAATGTCAATAAGGATCCCCTGGGGATTTTGTCAAACTCATATTCTAACAGTTGGTTTGGGCTGGGGACTGTATTTCTAATAAACCAACAGGTGATGCTGATGTTGCTAGTTTGAGAATCACACTTTGAGAAGCAAGGATTTAGAGGAGACATCTGCCTAAGTCTGACCTTATTCATTAAGTATAGATTTTACTAATTTAACACCCAAGAGCTCTTGAGAGTGTGCACTGTTGACCCATAACACAATGAAGAAAATAGCAAAAATAAAAAACACCCATAAGCCCACACCCTACATAACTCCCATTAGAATGTTGTTAGTCCAGCTCTTTCCAATCTTTTTTCCTATCTATTTATTTATTCTCATATTTGTAAAAACAATCTTTTTTATTTACTTATTATAGTATTCATTGAGAAATTTTGCTGTCTTATCTTTGTAACTATTCCTAATAATGGCCACTGCATTGTAAGTGAAATAAACATAACTTGGAAAGAAATAAACCAAACCTTAATCATGGTTATCACAGGGTGGTCAAATCACAGATGATTTTCTTCTTTTCAAAGTACTGCAGATATAACTTTTGCAAAAGCAAAACATTAAAATAAATAAATACACAGCTGCAAAATACCCCATAATGTCGATGGACCATAGTTGACAACCATTTCCCTATTAGTTAGGCATTTAAGTTGCTTCAAGTTTTGTTTTGTTTTGTTTGCAGTTATAAAAAATGTATTAATGAACATTTTTGTACATATAGCAATTTCCATATTTTGTGGGGGTTTTCTCTCTCAGAATGGATTGTCTGTCTCTCTTCTGCCAGCCTGGTATAAGGTTTTACATGATCTTCTTGGTTTCATCAGAATCACACAAGATAACTGTGACTAATGAGACGAACACCTCTTCCTCAACATCCCTCAGGTTCTTCTACTCTGGGCCTCCCATAAGGTGATGCTCATCCCAGCCTGTTCCACTCCTGAAGGGAAACTCTACAGAAAAAGTGATATCAGCTTTTTAAAAAACATTACCTAGCTACTGCATACAGTGGTTGGATAAAGCGATTCTAGACACTCACCATTACTTTCTTCCTGCAAGCTGTGAGATCCCAGAGAACAAAACTTGTTTCTATTAAATCTACTATTATCTTAAGAAATATAACAGTATTTATGATAATAAATTTGTATGGAATATCAATGGGGCTAAAAGCACAGGCTTTGGAGTGAGCTGCCTGGATTTGAATCCTACCGCAGCCTCTTAGGAGTTGTGTGACTCATAAAAGGCAACCAACTTCATCACTCTGAAACTCAGTTTCACCTCTGAAAATGCAGGAAGCAACACTGTCCTCACTGGATTATTATCAGGTCTAAATTAATTTACATAAAATTTTTAGCACTGTGATTGGCAAGTAGAGCATGCTCAATAAGGGTTAACCACTACTATGATTATATTATTATTATTATTTCTTCAGAGTTGTTTGGAGGCTTGAGTCAGATAATGTACACAATACTCTATAAGCACATAATGAGTGCTTAGTAAAATGGTGGCTGTCACAACAGTGCCTGTTAGATACTCAATAATCTATTGAATGACTGTATAAAACGTATTTTACAGATGAGGAATGAAAGCTCAGAAATGTTCAGCTACTTGCCTCAGCTTACAGTGATCATAAAAGCATAGCGAGATCTGACAGGCTGCAAGGCCCTTATGTGCCCTTTCCCTCCACCGAGACTGCTGCTTCCTTAGACCAGGCAGAAGAAGGACGGAAAAACGTCAGTGAGTAGCAATGTCAGAGCTGGAGCTTCAGAGATCAAGAAACCAATTGGAATGTTCTGAATCCTTGACCATGACCCATTCATCTCGTACTTTAATAATTTTCAGCTGAAATTAGACCAGCTAGAAAAAATGGAAATCTGTTTCTGCATAGGGTTCTGTGATGCTCTTTACTCAATTTCAATCTAATGACTAGATTAAAAGGAAGCCAAAGATTTGATCTCTCAAAATCATTGAAACAGGGCCTTAAGCTTTTAAAAAACAAAGCTCATGGCAATTTTCTCAAGCTCCAGGATCTGATACTCCTCTGGCAAGGGTTATATTTCACTCATCTCAACATGGGATTGAGAAATGTACACTCAGAAAAGAGTGATTAAGAATCAATGATAAGGGCACATTGGTTCAAGATGGCAGAGTAGAAGGATGTGCTCTCACTCCCTCTTGCAAGAGTACCAGAATCACAACTAACTGCTGAATAGTCATCGACAGGAAGACACTGGAACTCACCAAAAAAGATACCCCACATCCAAAGGCAAAGGAGAAGCCACAATGAGATGGTAGGAGGGGCGCAATCACAATAAAATCAAATCCCATAACTACTGGGTGGGTGACTCACAAACTGGAGAACACTTATACCACAGAAGTCCACACACTGGAGTGAAGGTTCTGAGCCCCATGTAAGGCTTCCCAACCTGGGGGTCCAGCAATGGGAGGAGGAATTCCTAGAGAATCAGACTTTGAAGCCTAGCAGAATTTGACTGCAGGACTTCGACAGGACTGGGGGAAACAGAGACTCCACTCTTGGAGGGCACACACAAAGTAGTGTGTGCACCGGGACCCAGGGGAAGGAGCTGTGACCCCATAGGAGACTGAACCAGACCTACCTGCTAGTGTTGGAGGGTCTCCTGCAGAGGCGGGGGGTGGCTGTGTCTCACCGTGAGGCCAAGGACACTGGTGACAGAGATTCTGGGAAATACTCCTTGGTGCGAGCCCTCCCAGAGTCCGCCATCAGCCCCACCAAAAAGCTGGGTAGGCTCCAGTATTGGGTTGCCTCAGGCCAAACAACGAACAGGGAGAGAACCCAGCCTGACCCATCAGCAGACAAGCTGATTAAAGTTTTACTGAGCCCTGCCCACCAGAGCAACAGCCAGCTCTACCCACCACCAGTCCCTCCCATCAGGAAACTTGCTCAAGCCTCTTAGATAGCCTCATCCACCAGAGGGCAGACAGCAGAAGCAAGAAGAACTACAATCCTGCAGCATGTGGAATGAAAACCACATTCACAGAAAGAGAGACAAGATGAAAAGGCAGAGAGCTATGTACCAGATGAAGGAACAAGATAAAACCCCAGAAAAACAACTAAATGAAGTGGAGATAGGCAACCTTCCAGAAAAAGAATTCAGAATAATGAGAGTGAAGATGATCTAAGACCTCAGAAAAAGAATGGAGGCAAGGATCAAGAAGATGCAAGAAATGTTTAATGGAGACCTAGAAGGATTAAAGAACAAACAAACAGAGATGAACAATACAATAACTGAAATGAAAAATACACTGGAAAGAATCAATATTCAACAGAATAACTGAGGCAGAAGAATGGATAAGTGACCTGGAAGACAGAATGGTGGAATTCACTGCTGCAGAACAGAATAAAGGAAAAAGAATGAAAAGAAATGAAGACAGCCTAACAGACCTCTGGGACAACATTACACATAACAACATTCACATTATAGGGGTCCCAGAAGGAGAAGAGAGACAGAAAGGACCCAAGAAAATATTTGAAGAGATTATAGTTGAAAACTTCCCTAACATGGGAAAGGAAATAGCCACCCAAGTCCAGGAAGTGCAGAGAGTCCCATACAGGATAAATCCAAGAAGAAACATGCCGAGACACATAGTAATCAAATGGGCAAAAATTAAGACAAAGAAAAATTATTGAAAGCAGCAAGGGAAAAATGACAAATAACATACAAGGGAACTCCCATAAGGTAAACAGCTGATTTCTCAGCAGAAACTCTACAAGCCAGAAGGGAGTGGCATGACACATTTAAAGTGATGAAAGGGAAGTACCTACAACCAAAATTACTCTACCCAGCAAGGATCTCATTCAGATTCAATGGAGAAATCAAAAATTTTACAGAAAAGCAAAAACTAAGAGAATTAAGCACCACCAAAACAGCTGTAAAACAAATGCTAAAGGAACTTCTCTAAGTGGGAAACACAAGACAAGAAAAGGACCTAGAAAAACAAACCCAAAACAATTAAGAAAATGGTAATAG